GAGCTTGAATTTGTATGGCTTCTTCTATACGAATTGCTTTTCAAGTTATGCTTGCGGGAAATTTTGGTATGCAGAACCGGCGTGCTATTTTTTTAATCTTTTTCAGAGTAGAGACGTGACCGGTGACGTCAAAATGGAAATGTAAAGAATTGCAATACGAGCACTTGGAATGAAAATTTTTATAAATTTGTTATTCTTCATTACGTTTGGCTTGGCCCAACAAACTTCTTTTTTTTTTTTTCATTCATCCTCAAGTATATAACTGTGAAGTGGTGAGGAGAGTGCTCCTCTAGATAAACTACTTGGAAATATTGAAAACTTTTCAAAAAAAGCTTTTTGATAACTAGAATTAGAGATGCGATGCTATTTCCTTTAAGGAGAGTAGCGATTTTAAGTCGTTTGTTTGAGAGGTACTGATGTTGTTTCCACCATTCTAAATCTGTAATAAGCGAAACACTTCTTGGTGGTACTAGAGGGAGGGAAAACTTAACGTTGGTTTGAGCAGGGCTTCTCTTGTGATATTACAACGTTCCATATTTAATAGTTCAAAAAAGACGCAGCTACTGGTCCTCTTTGCTCCTCATTTTTCGTCGTGTCTTGGTACCTGGATTACTTTTTTCTTTCTATCTCAACAATGGCTGTAAACAATATCATTGTTTTGTTGGTGGGTGACGGCCTTTTCTTTATCGGAACGAAATGGACCAGATTTTTAGTGGTCATTAGGTGTCTCTCTCTACCCGGTATTCTGAACTCTGACGCTGTTATTATGCTTATCATATTATTATAAATCATAGTTTGTTAGAGTTTGAATATATGCAGTTTTAAAGCATCCACCTTGCCTTGTTTAATTTTCGCTCATTCTGATCCGAAATCTGAAGTATCGAAATTTCGAATTTTTTTTTTTTTTCAACTGGTTTCATTGCAATAAATTTGCGCTTACGCGTCGTGCGTTTTGCCAGTGATGCTCCTTTTGTCAAGCTCCATTCTCATCCGTTATTCTAAATTAACAGATGCTGAATGTAACTTCAAAGTATGATCAATTTTCTCTAGTGGTTGTGTTTGCGATTGGATCTCGACAGTGGCCGAAGATTACTGCAGAGACATAGCAGCATCCCATCCTTCATTAATAGGTTCATGCATTTCCCTGAACTATAATTTATGGTTTGCGTGACAGCGCGCACACAGATATTCCTGTTCTTATCAAGGTAAACGCATCATTCTTATCAAGATAAATGCATTTGCATTTATCCTAATAAAAACATACGAGTTCATGTCTGCATACTTAACTGACGAGTTCGTCTCTGCGTATGTATACATGTGTATAGGTATATTTATATAAATATGTGCATGTTGCGATAGTTTCAGCTAAAGCAGAAACTAGAAAACTGCGGGATTTTGAACCAGAAATCAACATCTTTCTGTAAATCGTGAACCAAAGAAGAAACAACTAGAAACAATGAGGTATTAAATCCAGGCTAAAACGCACCGGGCGAGCCCGTGCGATCATGCGTTTTTGCACCGCATTTGAGGTACTCTGATCACTAATTGCATGAGTGGTTGTTGCTTTGCATCTACCTTTTGCGGCCACTAGCATAAATCACCATAAATTTTGCATAAAGTATATGTACAATTTCCACTTAACGGTCGTTCTTTAAAAGTAACCTAGCTGTTCAGTGAGAAATTTTTTCACCAAAACTTTTAAATGCCCGTGCGCAAGAACCACGCGTGCCACAAGGCTGAATTCGAAACACTTAAGTTGCACTTGGGCAGGAAACATTCCTGTAGAATTTCAGCTTTCTAGCTT